CTTTCTTTTCTTTCCCTCTCTTTCTTCCCCCCTCCTCTTCCCTCCCTCCTTCCCTTCTTTCTCTTGAGGTGCGAAGCCTTTCTTCACCTGCAAGCTTACGCAAATGTTCACGAGTCAAACACAATCGACAGATGACTTTAGACCCACCATGGGTACAAAAGGAACCTCATGAACGTGGAGCCTGAGCAGCCCGGGGAGCGGATGGTTTACCCATTGGGCGGTTCACCACAAGGTCAGCAGTTTGAAACCACCAGCCAGCTCCGAGAGAGCAAGATGACGCTGTCTACTCCCATGAAGAGCGACCCTCGGGAGACCCTCGGGAGCCCACTGGCATGGTTCGGCCCTGCCCTACAGGGTCACTCGGAGTCAACATTGACTTGATGGCAGGGAGGTTTGGTTCGCGTGCAGAGAGCCAGAACACTTTTCCTGGGGTCCCCGACACCGCTCTCAGAATGGAGACCGCGGACGCAGAGATCCCAAGGCGCTGTTGCTCAAGTGCTCCTGTGAGCAAGGGCCCGGGTCTAAGGGGTACCATTACTATCAGGGCACACACGGCAAAGACGAGGTCCCACCCAGGTCGCTGCTGCATTCCACAGAAACATGCCTTTCTCACGCGACACCCCAATGCCCAATGCCATCCCTTCCTCCCTCAGGCTGTCTGCTCATCTTCTGAACAACCTCTCCACCAACACACCGGAAGGCCCAGGTTAAAACAAAGAGCTGGTATAAAACAAACACACCCAAAAGCCCAGTATGCAAAAAACAAAACCAACTCACTGCCATCAAGTGGATTCTGACTCATAGCAAACCGACAGGACAGGGTAGAATTGTCCCCGAGGGTTTCCGAGACTGGAACTCTTTCCGTGCATCGTATGCCTCGCCTTTCTCCCAAAGAGTGCTGGGTGGTTTTGAACTGCCGACCTTGTGGTTGACAGCCCAACACATAATCACTATGCCACTGGGCCTCCAGGAACTCCGTATGGCCAACTTCAGTGGGAGATAATTTAACAAGCGTAATTGATGGGGGTGGGGGGTGGGGGTCGGGGCAGTGTTCCTTTGTACTTGGGGAAGCAATATTAAGGTTGCAATAATGATGAGTGATTCCAAGAAAATCGTCCCTCCTCCTCCCGTGTGTCCCTAGCTGACCTTTCATGAAGACATGGGAAGGGGCCCAGACTCAGTCAGGAGAGAGCAGGCCCCAGCACCCATCATTGCGAAGAGCATGCTCAGCTCTCGTGGCTCGGGTGGGCTGTCCCGGGAAGCCAGTCATTACGGGGGCCACGCGTGGGGCATCTCACCTTTTGTCTCACCCCAGCCGGTGATGTAGCATTCTGTCCGGTCAGCCACCACATAATTTGTGGGAGGCAGACAAGCTGGGATGACTTTGTCCGTGATGATGGCTGGCCTAAGGGAAAAGCATCACAGTTCACAGGTGGTCGTCCCCGGTCACCCTCAGTGAGGAACCACCTGCTAAAGACCCAGAATTTTTCAAGTTGGTGCTTTCTTGTTTCGCTGACCTAGAGCTCGGTGGACAAAAGCCTTGCCGCCTCCTGTGTGCCCAGCACAGGTTACGAAAGCATTTTTAAAACCGTCTGCTGTGTTCAGGAAACTGCCGGGAGTGGTTGCCCCTGAGCAGGGCCTGGCCCATACCGGCTTCACATGTAGGCCCTGTTCTCCACTGGAATTTTAGAGTTAGTACACGCAAAGACATTCACTGAGCTGCAACCCTGTCCAAGGCCAGAAGCGTCGACCGTGTACCATGGTCATGAGGCCGATTGCTCCATGCATGTGAATCCTCCCCTCTTTTTCTCTGTCAATAGCACAGCACTGCATGTCTAAGACTTACCCAAGTACTGGTTATGAAACAAAAGAGTTCAAAATTAGCACAGTGCATAAACAGAATGGTAGGAGAGTCCCAGGGCATCTTAAACTCTCAGGCTTGGGTATTTTAGGTTCAATTCCACCTTAATAAGCTCAAAGGAAACCCCACAGAAGAGAAGACCCACATCAACATGGTCACCAACTTTGAAATGAGCACACCTTCTTGAAGGCCAAACTAGACCGAGGATCACAACCATCCTCCCCAAAGAGGTTACTTTAAAGATGTTCCTCATGTGCTGTCAATTGCCATAGACTCTCTGAGTAGGCGGGTGAGTCTTCTGAAACTCCAAATTGCCCACAGCCTGTCACAGAGCCCACAATTGACTCAGTCACTTGACCCACACCTTGGAAGGTCATGGGGGAAGGAAGAATTGAGTTTACTGGAAGATGAGGGTGATAGAGCGGAGGCTGGGGCGGGGGGCATGAGGAGAATCAGCTGCTTTTTAGACCCCTTTTCCTTTCGAGACTATCAGAACATCTTGGGAAGTCAGCCCTTAGTTGGTTGTTGTTGTTGCTTGGCTTTGACTGAGCTTTAACTATTGGCTACTGCATGCCCAACAGGACAAAGCATTACCCTGCACCATCTTCAAGATGGTTAGGACATCCAGGTCCCCTGTGGTGGGCTCTGTGTATTTGGAGGGCTCTGGACCTGGAGGACTCCTCTTCCAGCACTATACTCCACTGCCATCAAATGATGCCAACTCATAGCGACCCTCTAAGGCAGGCTAGAACTGCCCCTGGGGGGTTCCAAGACCCTAACTCTTTCCTGGAGTAGACAGCCTCATCTTTCTCCTTCAGAGTGGCTGGTGGTTTCAAACTGCTGTCCACCCAGCGAGTAACCACTGCACCACCTATCAGACAAAGCCCTCCGTTTACTGGCCCAGGAGGGTTTTCAAGCGTGTGTGGGCCAGACACAGCAGAGCAGCATACTGACTCCTGGCCACTAGCCACCCGTTGGCCTGTCCCAGTCCATCACAGTCAGCACTGTCCTACTGTCATCGGGACCGCATCAGACGGAGCTGAGGGCCTCCGCAGGCCTTGCTGCCTGTCCTCAAAATAGCACCTGTTTCTTCAGCGTCCGTGGGGATCTGCCGCAGACTACTCTAACTTGAAGTCATGGAAGAAATGCTAGCGCTTTGCCGGGCTTCCTAAAAAAACGCCCCTTTGAAAGTCGAGAAAAACCGGGGAAGATGGTCAGCTGTGGTTTTCTTCAGCACATGATCTCATTGGACTCCCCCAAGCAGGCTCCTGCGTGGACAGGAGACACCACCCCCCTGGAATCACTGAGTCCTTTTCTGATCCTGAACCCGCTGACTGATGTGATGAAATGAAATGAAAGAGCTTTCGGTGTAAAACCTCGTGTTTCAGAAACTCACTCCTCCTACACATTGAAGAGCCTGCGTCCCCCTGAGCTACAGCTGTAAGGCAGCTTTGGGCCAGAGTCTGGGCATCTGACTTCCACCCAGGCTTCTCTCCACGGAACCAGTGTGCCCCCCTCACTACAAAAGCTACAGGAATGCCGGCCATGCCCAACCAGCAAAGAAACGGCCGCAGGTGTGGGAAAACCCCGCAGATGAAGGAGTCGTACCTGCTTAGCTTCAGCAAGGCAATATCTGATCGTGTAGGCTCCAAGAACAGCCGAGAAACTTCAATGTCTTGAACATCGGCTTCCAGATTCACTTCTCGGTGTGCGCCCAGGATGACCTTGTAGGAGGATGCCCTGGGGGACCTAAGACAGCAGGTTAGGAGGAAAGCATGGCCCTGTCCTTTTGTGGCCACCCCTTCGATGCCACAATATCCTGTCGTCGGCCCTAGACACTGTGACCCAGGACTGAGGACCTCTGAGTGGCAAGAAACAGTCATGCTTCATCTGACCCAGGCTCTTGAGGGACCTTCTCCCCACTCCTTACAGAGGAAGACCGGCCCCAGCGTAGAAGCCAGCACAAGGATGGACATCCATGTCAGGGTGGCTGGTGGTGACCAGGCCTGTTATGCCCAGCGACTCCATTCTCTGTCATTTCTCTCCCTTACAGCCCATCCTTCACATGAGAGCTGGAGAAATCTGTTTCTTAAATATAAATCAAAGGCTCCCACTTATATGAGCTCTCTAGAATGGGAAAATCTATAGACACCTCCTAAATTCAGATCCCTCGCTTCCCACTGCTCATGCTCAGTGGGCCCCAAAACCACACCTCTCTCAAGGTCCAGGCCACCAACCACAGTCTCCGTGAAACCTTCCTTCTTGGTGATCTCTCTGCCTTCCCTGAAGCCCCCTGGCTCTTTGTCCCTCTCTCTTTACTCTGAGCGGTAGAGACCTCTATCAAAGACTGCATTTTCCTCAGCAGATTGTAAGACTGGATTATGCTCCAGTCATCATGGTTCAGGGAAGTAACACCCAAACCAAACTCACTGCCAATTTGCCATGACTGTACAGGACGGGAGCACTGCCCCTGATGGTTCTGACGCTAACTCTTTACAGGAGTAGAAAGCCTATCTTTCTCCCACAGAGCAACTGGTGGTTTCAAACTGCCGATCTTACAGTCCGCAGCCTGACGTGTAACCCACTGTGCCACCAGGGCTCCTGAAGGACGTAAAGAAAGATGAAAAGAAGAAGGAAGGAAGGAGGGAGGGAAGAAGTCCTTACGACTGGTCTCCCTGTCTCTCAGGCTGTGTACATACCTTTCCAAGCAGTGGGCAGCCGTCAAAACCCACTGTGGGGCCAGTAAAGTGCCTCCACAGAAGTGCGTTCCAAACCTGGAGGAGAGAGATGTCTGGGTGCTGGTTTCTATGTGACGGTCATTCTGCCCCACTCTACAGAAACAATTGTTCATTCCATCTTGACATCTCCCTCCTGCCCTGGCACCCCAACAAAGGTAGCAGCCCTGCATCAGGATAGTGGGAACTCAGAGAGGTACTTCAGTAATGGGTTTTCCTGGGAGGGTCCTCATTCACACCAGTCTCTGAGATGGCTTCTTGGAGAGACTTCTCAGGCTCATCATGTTCATGAGAGAACAAAACAACTGTGTCCCATCAGCCCTAGACCCCAACAGATGTGTCCAGCCAAGGAGATTCTTCTTACAGCCCCCTTGACTGCTGCTGTTTGACAAGACCTATGAACAGTCTCTAACTCACGGTCATCGAACCGATATCCGACTCATGGCAACCCTACAGGACAGGGTAGAGCTGCCCCTCTGGGTCTCCAAGACTAACTCGTGACAGGAATAGGAAAGCCTCATCCCGATCCAAAGGAACAGCTGATGGTCTCGAAACACCGGCCTAGCAGTTAGCAGCCCAACGTATTCCCCCTCCACCACCCAGGCTGCTAGTCGCCAGGTTCAAAACCACCAACCACTCCGCAAGAGAGGGAAGACGAGGTTTTCTTCTCCCAGAAAGAGTTACACTCTCAGAAACCCACAGGGCCAGTTCTGCCTGGTCTTATAGGGGGACTATGAGTCCGAATCCATGGCAGTGAGTTTAGCTTGGGGGATTTTTCTTTTGTTTTGTTTTGGTTTGGATGGGTTGTGTTGGGTTGTGTTGGGTTAGAGTTGGGTTGGGTTGAGTTGGTTTGGATGGGTTGGGTTGGGTTGGGTTGGGTTGGTTTGG